ACTTGTTCTAAGAAAAATGAGAACACCACTAGCGTTCCAATCATATTGATCATTTTCATATTATATTTAATATTTCAATGGACCACACAGATTCTTAATCTGCTATGAGCTAGGTCGGGTATATCATACTTAATCGATTTTGATTTATGATTTTTATTTACTTTGCGTCGTTTGCGTTGATTGATACATCGAGTAGCTAAGGATAAGAATGTGGGGAGAGGTAAGAAGACAGAAAAACTAAATATTTCTGTATCACTTGCTGCCATTGTGCATGGAACATGTCATATTCAGTGCAGACTGCATTACAAACGCAGAACTTTGTGAAAATCAGCTGCTAAGATTTTACTATTTGTTTTTTTTTTTTTTTTTTTTAGTTTATTTGTTAAAAAGAAGGAAGACTATTTTTTTATTTCTTACTTTAATTTTAAGTCGATACAGATGTTTCTGGACACATTGATATCTTTAACGTTTAAAATTGTTACTGACTTGATTAAAATTTTAATAAACATAATTTTCTTATAATTCTGAATATTTTATTTGTAGTTTTTATTTAATAGGAGATCCGTTGTCTTATGAAGTACTTTTAGATAATATTACTTAAAATTAGTACAAAAAATCTGTCAAACAAGTTCGGTATGTCACACCCTGCTTAGCAGTCGAAATATCAATTTACCACCTAGCTCACGCCGGGTTAACAAAGAGGGAATATAGGAGCATTCGATATGTATCTACATTTTTTAATTTTACTACATAACGTATAGAATTATTTTAATATGCGAATCCGACAATTATTGTAACATTATTATTTTTATTTTTTAATTTTTCTAACATTGAGAATGACCCCGGTCGGCGTGAAAATGTATATATTTTTTATATGTTTTATATAATATTTCTTCTTTTTCCTATAATTTTATAAATTAAATAAACAAATAATTTTAAATTTAATCTACTAATTATATATATATTTCAATAATATATTTTGTCAATTCTAACATGACTGCTGACACCTGTAATTTTTACATTTTGATTGACTATAATTTCAAATTTTGATTTTTGTTGACTACTTTTTGCCTAGTTTAAAATATTATCTGACTTGTTTTCAGATTCAAGTTAGACGTTGCAGTGATATAAGATCAGCAAGTGTATATGAAATAGAGGAAGAGAAATCTCTTCCGTTATATTACTTAGGTACCTTACTTAAGCTTCAATACCTGAGATTATGTAAATTATCATAGAAATATTTATTTATACAATTGTTGTTAAGTAGAAGTTTTACAAAATCTATGTATTTATAAATCTATGTATATATTATATCTATAAATAAATTGTGTTAAATACAATGTAAGTAATACAAAAACGCTCATTATGGCATCTGTACAATCGGGCGGTGTTAATCAGATGTGTACATGCGATTGTAATTACATGTATCTCTTTTCAGTCTTCGATTAATATTCACAAATTTCCAAATGCGATTTCCAATAATCTGCTCAAAATTGGCAGTTTATACAGTGTTTGCTAGAAGCATAGTGCAAATCTAGAAAACTTATAAAAAAAAAATCTTACTTTAACCCTTTCAGGACTATACAAATTGATTTATCTCTTCTTATATAAGAATTATTACTTTTCTACAAAAAAAATGAAAATGTTTTTTTTACATTACAATTCGACGATAAACATTTGTATCACAATTCATCGAACAATTTTTAAAAATGTCTAACACATTACCTGAAACGTAAACTTGCGGAAAATAAAAAAAACGGATACATAGTCTAGTCTGTACGAAAGTTTATAAATATGGAGATATATATGTCAATAAATAAATAAATAAGTCTCTTTGAATACACAGAGCATGGATAATAACGATTATAAGGTAGAATCTGTTTCACAGTGTAAAATAGAGAATCGCATCACAGAGAGAATCTTGTTGGACTTAAAGGTGGAAATACGAGAAAAAACTCTTTGTACTTGCATCCGTTTGTATTAAAAAATGAGACTGAGTCGAAAAAGTGCCCGTGCTAATAAATAGAAATCTGAATTAAATTACGTATACAAGCAGACGCATAGTATTCAAGAAAGCAATCGGTGAAGAATTATTCAGTAAGTTAAAAGCAAACAAGCAAACGTGAAAATATAGTTATTTAAAAGTTAGATTCGTTGTTATTTAGTGAACAATTATTTTATTTCCTGATCTAGATTGATCGTTTGCATCGAGGACACACAGATTATTGCAATGGACCTCCGTTTGGCCGGCATATGAAACACGAATAAGAACGACGATTGCGACACATTAGGAATCTACATAAAAATGTTGCGCTTGTGTCATACCCTGCCTGCATATAAAACTAACTCCAAACGGTAAGCGTAGTGAACATTGACTTGATTTTACTGCGGCGGCCTCTTGTGTAAACCCCAGCCATGAAAGCATTTCGTAAATCTTCTAGATTCTTTACCTTTGGCAGTTAAAAATAACTTACGGGGTTTGTCAGGTTGCTTTACGCGCAAGTGTTGAATATATACCTGGAAGAAAAAGAACATGTTAAATTGCTGATATTTTACATCGATCAATCTATTTAGAATTAAGGGGATCCTAAAGCGAAGCTTGAACTTTGACGAAGTCACCAGAAGTCGCGCCACGCGCCGACATGTCTTTGGCTGCATTCGGTTTGCACGCTCACACGCTGTAAGTGCTCATGCTTATAAGTGTTTTTTGATGTTCAATGCTCAAATTAAATAAGTGATGTCATTCATTTTAGCTATTGTAAGCGTCAAACTTGGATACGTAATTGATAATTGACCATGAGTAATTCGTTTCTTATATACTAAAAATAAAAATTTACGAAATTTTAATAAATATTTGTTTAAAATAGTATCAATGAGACATTTGCTTATAGCGAATAAAAATTTATTCAATAAAAATTTATATTTTGATTTAAGTATTATTTCTTAAAATAAATATTTATTTACTATAAGCAAATGTCCCATTGGTATTATTTTAACAAATATTACAATTTTGTAAATTTTTTTTCAATGTCATTTTTTTTTGCCTTATAACTCTTGTTTCCTTTCACTGAAGATACATTCAAATCATGGTACTTCATTGGGAGTTAGAGATATCGTGTATATGTTCCCAATCCGTGCATCTTCTAAATCAACTAGAACTCTTAGTGTTGATATCATCTTTGTATGAGTAAATTCTTTTTCCTATTTTTTTAAGACAATTTAAGCATCTAATTCCTTGTTGGTGAACAACAAAGTCCTTTTTTTATTAACATAAAATCGGAAAACGTTTGTAGATAAGTATATTACGTATATAAATATATTACGAGAGAGCGTTAACATATACACGCGCGTAACGCGATACATTCGTTAAACATTTCTCTAACGAAAAAACATACATAGATTTAACCTATTAGATATATTTTTCATTTTATAAGCGAAAAATGTATTTTTTGCAACTATTCGATTTTTTTTCATAATTATCGTCGAAAATTAAAGTTATCTTGGAATTTTATACGTAAAAGCGTATTTTTTACTCGTTTCAACAGTTGTCAAACGTGTTTCTGCTCGAATATAGACTCACTTCATATGCCTTTTATGGCCATTTACTGACTGTCAAGGGAGAAAAGGCAATTCATAGATTTTTATAAGTGCTTTAAAGCGATTTCGTCAATTAGATTTATCCAAATTGTCTTTACTTACAAATGGCATGTAACATAAATTAACGTGTCATTTCTCGCTTTTGATGTCACGATTCCAACATGGCCGCCGCGACTAGTCGGGAGCCTTAATTTATTTTGTAAAATGTTTGTAGCATTTTTATAAAAATTATGACGATTAAACTTGTATAACTTACCTGAGCTGATTTATAGGCCAGTTTGATTTCAACTTCTGAACAGCGAGTACCCAGCCAAAGAAATACTTGTTCTCCATTATCGAGTATCATTATATCATCATCTGCCAAATCGTCCTACAAAAAATAACTCATGATTCATTTATTATAAAAAACCTGAAAAATTCTGATAATATACTAGAAGCTATTACTATTAATATCGAAATATTTTCCTATTTGAAATTGAAAATTTACTTGACAAAAATCGGTGCACTTCTCGCTGATTGTAAAGTACCCTTTCTCATTGGAACATCTAAATAATCTTGTGTAATTCATAAACTCTGCATTAGTGTCGTATGGTTTCTTCCCCCCAAGCGCCACCCAGAAGAAATTATCTGGCTCCTCGCCTTCGTTTAAAACTTGCAGACTTATCCATGGCTGTATTCAATTTATATTTATTATCAACAATGGAAAACAAAAACATTTTTTTATCTATAAGGTACAAACTTTATTTCGTAGGAACAAAAAGAATATTTAAGGAGAAACACTATCCTTGAGGCTTAAAAATGATACCTAACTTCGGTAATTTTTTGCAGTAAACTAATAAAATCAATCAAAAATCGTTCTTAAGGGCTTTACTATATGAACTTTCAAAAGTACAAAAAGATTTTTTGAATTTTTATCACACAAAATGGCGATGCTATATCGAGTGTTAATTTAATATAATGTGATTGTGTTATTTGAATATTTTGTGTTAAATAAAAATTTATTTCTCAGTGTTAAAATCACACAATTTATAGGTAAATAAACAAAGAACATAAAAATAATGTAGTTTTAAAATATAAATTCTAAGAATAAATGAATAAAATGTATGTTAATTTTGATATATTATAAATGTTAATTAATTTTACTAAAGAAATATGTTCTGTACAACTAGTTATATATTTTATATGTAAAAAAGTATAGATATTTTCTCTTTGTAACAGTAAATATCTATTAAATCTATATATTGTATATGTAATATTACAGAAGCATCGCCTAAATTAAAAATGTAAAAATAGCATGTAATTTCAGTTAAATTTTACATTATGAACGTGTCAATTTAACATTTAAAATTTGCTTTAACATAAAATTGTGTCAAAATTATACTTTTTGTGTTAATTTTTTACATAATATTTATGTTAATTTCTAACATATTCATCTTATGTTAAATTAACACAAAATTTTTTATTGTAATAAAAATGATAAATAAAAAACGTATCATTTTCGATAAAAAAATTTCATCTT